ACCTCAAGAGACCCACAGGAGAACATTACATTGTGAAATGTGATGAAAACAATAGTGAGGCATGAGGAACACAAATAACTGCACTCGAAGCTCAGGGGAGTCTTTGGCAAAAGCCTCCCCAGCCCCTTTATGGGAAGAGAGAGGCTTCACAAGAAATCACAGTCCATAAACTGATCTATACACTCATAAAAAACAACTCAGAACTCCCCCATAGGTCGATTTACTAACATGCTTTACTAACATACAGAATGAGCCAAGGAACTGTGAATTGTGTTTTTTTTTTTAATGGAGACCCGGTAAATAAAACACAGAGATGATTCTGTAGCTTTGTGTCCCTGTGTTGCTTCTGGAGGCACTCTGGCTAATTTCTAATGGCAGGATAGTTAAGCTCAACATCCTCAGAGCTTCACCACTACCAAAATGACCACAGACTGGCTTGTGGTTGGCCATTACCAGGATGGATTATGCTGCACATGAAATAATCTTGCACCCTCTTAGTTTTGCATCCTGTAATTTTGCTTTGTCTTTCTAAGTGTGAAACCACCCCACAGAAATATGCAATGACTGACCATCGTTTATCAATATTGGGGGAAAAAAACTGTGCGGAGAGCACCAGAGGGCACATAATGCTGATCATTTTAATAGTTTTACACTAACTAATTTAGAGTCATCCAATAACAATATAAACCCTCAAATGCATACACATTTCACTGTAGTACATATTGTAAAATATGTAACTAGCTATTTCCAGTTTGGTTCTTACTGGACAACAAATGCAAACAGCAGAATTATAATGCATATACACAGAATCAGAAGTGGACAGATATCAAAAACTAATGTATCAAGCTGTTAAAATGAAGTTTCTGTGTGAGTTCTAAGATCTAATCATCTTCCTGGTATACAGCATTCACAGCAGAGAACAGGCAGATACCAACAAGCAAAAGCGTTTGGGATATGGCAGAATATTAGCTTGTACTATGCATGCTTGCCAGGGTTGGATCCGTGAGATACATAAGTCTGAGACAATCAGCAGCACTATCTGTAATGTTTGCCTTTGAAGTATTTGGCTCAGGCCACAGAGTTATTCATCAAAAGCTAGCAGAAACCTCTGACTTTCATGTGAGGGAGGGGGGCACTTAAGATAACTCAGTGGAATCCACATTGGTAAGCCACCACTCTTCATTGTAGTGTTTAACTCAAATATGTTTTTTCTGCAATTGTTAGAAGTGAGGAGCTGTGCCTTATTTGGATTCGAGCTGTAACAATTACTCGATTACTGTATTAAAAAGCGTTGATTAAAAATTTCCTTCTCAATTATTTGGCAACATGGCAGAAGGAAGACAGCACAGAATCCAAATGATGAGCAAAAGCATCAGTTGTGTGGAAGCACTTCACATTAAAAGTGAATGAAAATGCAGCCGTCTGTCAGTATTGAAAAAGCAGAACTTAAGTATCACCACAGCACGACTGCAATGCAAATACATCTTAAAATGACAAAAAACATCAGTTTTTAACAGATTCATCCAGTAATGCGAGGTTAGCCATAGATATGTGCCATTCAGCCTTCCGGAGTAATAGCCTGTCTTTGTCATCTATTTTACTTAAATTGTTTTATTTAAATCTACTTTCTATGATTCTATATGAAACACCATATCAAAATAATCACAGAAAATGATTAAACTGGTCACTTAGCTGCATCGGCTTACATAATACAGTAAATAACAACCATATAATATTTTTGTGAATGATATTGGAAAAAGTTAATCTTGAGATATTTGAAGTTATTGCGATATTTATTATAGGAGTTGAAAATGAACTATATAGCCAAATAGATCTCATCTGTCTAATAAGTTGGTGGTGTTGCCATGATTTGTGCCAACAGACATGAAGTAGTGCCAACAAATTACTTGGTTTTGCCTAATATCTCCATGGAATACAAAATATTTATATACAGAAGTAGATGAACATCTTTTCGTGATCAGTTCATTTTCACTTTTCTCCATTTCACTAATTTTTCTTTAATTTCTCACAAACACACCATACAGCCTATGAGTGAGTCCAACAAGAAAGGGAATGATGATTATCTCAGAGTGGGTTTGCAATGCCGCTGCGCACCCCTGCTTTGTCGCTCTGTGTGTTGAGTTTGCCCTGTATGTTCACCCTGTGTGCTCGTAGCTTTTCGGCAGATCCTCTGGTTTCCTTCACATGTTTCTGAACAGTCAACTTAATTAAATCAAAGTGCCTAAAATTACCATATGTGTGACTGAGTGTGCACCCCACAATTGCTGGTTGATTTCTGGCTTGCACCAGTTGCAGTGTTTATATTATACTATACGATTAATCAACAGATTACTCAATTGATATAATCAATAGTGACAGCCCTAATATGGATCCCAGCAAGGTGTTCAAGAGTTTGCAATTTCAACATTTCTTTCCACTGACAGCATGTATATAATACTAGACAATTCCACTTATGTGTGGAATCAGGCCAGTGTTTCCCCTACCATTATATTAGGGGGCGCCCCGCCCCCCCAACGGCACCTCCCACCCCCCTTTGAAGGTCAAGTTAATTTTATTAAATTTTATTTTCTATATAGCGCCAGATCACAACAGAAGTCCTTTAAGGTTACCTTTCTTATAGAACAGGTCTATACATTGTCTTTTTATTAAACTAAATAGCCTCATATTATTTATCTTATTTACACAACAGCTTGTCATTTTTGTCTCTACACGGTCGCGCGTTTACAATTCTCCTCTGCATTCCACCCCGATGCGCGCACACACAGGTGAGCACACTCCAACCAGCGGACAGAACAGAGAGCATGCGTCGGAAAATATGTTGCTTTAAACTATCACTATTTTATGCTATCACTTTTAAAGCTTAACAGTTAATGTATTTGCAGGTCGAGGCAAACATCCGCAATAGGCTGCAAGGAGACCATCTAGCAGCCTGCATGCGGATCTCAATAAATGGGCCAGACGTTTCTGACTTCCCATATCAAACGGCTCTAGAAATGTTTTTCCAGAAGCCCAGAAACACTGCAGTGACAAAAACCGCACACTTTGTGGATAATTATGTGGATAATTATCATAAAAGAAATGTTCTGATGTTTAGTTCAGTTGTCATATTGACTGCTGTCATTAAAAGAAACACATGAACACCATGAATCCTGTTGGTGTCTGTCTGCTCCCCCCCCCCCCACAAAGCTGTAAATCTAATGGAAACACTGCAGGCTGAACCAGAAATTCACCCTCCGATATCTAGTCCCAGACAACAGAGAACAATGTTCAGCCAATCCACACCAGCATCCCCCCTCCCTCCTTCCCCAAAACCACACACCTTACCCTACCTTTTCTGAAATATAGCTCATCTTAATAAAAGGAGTCCGAAGAGACAAGTGTATTCCACCTGAGTGTTCAGGTAAATCTACCATTCAGATTTGAAATAGACTGACAATGGTTTCCATCAAAAACATGAAACGGTAGTATGGGAACAGGTAGTATTAATGGCAGCATTAATTACAACTACTACCTTGAGATCATCAGCGGGGTCTTCTAAATGGGCATGGAAGCCTGCTGGTTGGGCCAGTGAGAAAGTCTATGTAGCACATTTTAACCCACTTGGGTCATATATCACATCCCTCAGGGATAAATACAGCACCGAAGGATCTATAATACAGAACAGCCATAATGTGCTTTGTTAAGAATTAAAACAACCTGGGGGAACGCTAATGCAGTGAAGTCAGTGCTTATTTCCATGGCACCAGTCTTGTGCTGTGGCCTGGCTCACAGTACAGGGATTACTTCAGTCTTAGACCACTTAGATTTGCTCACATAGCCTTAAAAGTAGGGCATGGTCAACACAACCAGGAAACTGCCACACATTATATTTTCGATGTGCGTTTAGAAAGGCGTTTTTAAAAATCTGCCAACTCAGTCCATTTCACATAAACGCAAAACATGTGTTTTTAATATAACTATCCCCATTATTGATATGTCATTATTTTAAGCATCTTGCATCAGATTAAAACAAGCACTACGTTACGTATATATAGAAGAAAAAGTTCCCCATCAGAATGAAACAGTAAAACAACCCACATGTCCAGACTGTTTCAGTGGGATGGGCAAAGTAATCCTTATGACTAGAGAACCCATTTTAAGGTGAAGTTCTCATGTATTGGGACAGCTTTTCATACATGCACAGAACCATAATCCAAATCAAAGAAACATAGGGGTTGCTGCAGTCTTGCATACTCCATAACTTTTGCCCATAAATAAAATGTTAAAATAAAAAAGGTGGACTAATCACTCAACACATTCTTCTCATGGTTCACATCCCACATGCTTATCTCCAAAACCCAGATGATCCACTGCCCCTCATGTACGGGCTACTCCAAAGTACTGTTTTGGTATTTTATAACAAGGTTCCCAGATTAAAAAACCTACACTTCAACACCAAGGACGGCTCAGTTTTTTCCACAAACATTTAAATACCTGTGCACAATATGTGGTAGTGAAATCATTACATCTAATGATAAATTAAGCACTTATAAACACACAATCAGCTCTGTGTAGGCAGAAACGATCAAAAGAAGTACCTTTAAATTCAGAACAGAAAATGTTCTGAATGTTCTATATATATGTACTTATATATAGATACGAAAATATTGAATGCTACATTACGTATTTGAACAATGTGACTACCTGAATGAATTCAGCCTTTATGATCCAATACACCCTTTGCACACAGGTACAAAGTTAGCATCTAAAACACATGGAGCTGAACATTACTGAATAAGCCCATGCAAAGATAATTTTGCACAGAAGGAATAAAAGGTCAGCAAATGTGTCATCACTAATAATTTACATCTCAATTCAACAAGTTCTCAACATACATACACTTTGTCTAATAAATTGCTTTTTCCAATGCCCCCATCCAAAATCATAATTGATCACATGCTCACACAAAGATATTCTATAAAGACTTCGAGAAAATAAAATACCTTTAAACATTTTTATTTTGTTAAACTTTCAAACCAACAGTTTACAGCACCGCCCTGTGGTAAATTACACCACTGTGGTTTTCCACTACATTCAACCAAGGACTTTTCAGGAGACACAAAATTTTAAAAGATGACGGCGATCATGCGGTTAAAAATATTATATTCTGCAGGGCCTGCAGGTGCTGGGTGTTGAGTGAATCTATTACGTGAGAGATCATTATTTTACTTTTAAAATAGGCAGTATGTCACATAAGTGACAAATAAATTTGTACAATTGCAACTATCCATCTAGCAGTAGCTTAAACAACTGGGTATATGCCAGGCCACACTGGAATTTGTAAAGCATGAGAGAAAAATACAAACATTCTCTGGCTTTTCACTTAGTTTTGAGTAAGACATTTCCATGGAATCTTACAGTAATACATTGAATGGTGACCGCAAGAACAATGGCTACTTTCAAAACCTTGCCTTCAATAAACTAATTTTTCCATAGCTACACATCCACACAAAGGATCAAAACAAAAAGGAAATCAAGGATGTACCCCCCTCCCCAGATGCCAAGAGTGGTTTACTCCACATGGTACATCGCTTTCAGAATGTAGGCTGTGTTTATTGCTCCGATTTAATTAAAATGGAGCATAGTGAGGATGCAAGCCGGTGAGAAAACGCCAAGTGAGCTGAAAGGGGATGGGGTGCAGGGGAGGGGCTGGAAGCACAGGAGAGTCAAAACCATTACCTTTTGTGACCCTGAACCACTCTGAACCAAGGCAATGTGTCTGTTCTACGGCATAGCAAAAGGGTGCTGCCAAATATAAGTCAATGACCTACCTGCTCTACGCCTTAAGGGTCTAATCATCTCTGTTGAGCAACTGTGCAGCAAGAGGGGTCAGAGGTCGGAGTTCATGGGGCATCATTTGCAGAGGTGTGTCGGATCTGAATGTCGTGACGCTCCACGGGAGGTCCAGGAGCTTCTGGTGGGAATGTCCAACGCGAGCCAGAAGAATGGTAGTAGTCTAATTGGGAAGCAGAACAAATTAAACCACAGAAGGTTCATGGAAGAACAACACTTTTTTTAAAACTGGCAGCGGATCTCCAAAGCAACTTTTTACAATATTATTTCAATTAAGTCCTGCCTTTGACCTTATCAAAATGTGAACACACGCTATCTTCTGAGATAATGACTGCTGAAATTACACCGAACTACTACATACCGAGATACAGTCCATCAGCTATATCCTCCTGAGACCCCACCCATTCATTTATGTCCATTGTAGTGGACATGTTTTCGCATCTATCTTTTCACTGATGTAAGAAAACATATTTATTCCTGTTGTACACTAAAGACATGCTGTGAAATTAAAAATAAAAATAAATTTGAAAAAATCTAAATTGTAAGACGTCTTATTTCCTCCAAAGACAAATAACCTATACTGTAATTGAAGGACACTTTTTTCCTTGGGTCTCAGGAGGTTAAGTGGAGCAATTAAAATTCACATATTTCTAGTACAATATTTTAAGAAGCAAGCTCAAGATAAACTTATAGAAAATTGTTTCTACAAATAAGCATTAAAAAAAATGACATTCTCAGTACAAACTTGTATATCAAATGTGTCCTGGAACACATTCAACTAATGGAAGCAAGTAATTACAGTGCAGCATTAAACCACTTGAATTTGGTCCAATCCTAACTACCACTTACACTTCAAGAAATGTCTCTGACCGGAGGATGACATAGCCACAGCAGAGACATTCAGTTGTTCAGTGAATGTCAGTTCCTGCAGGCAATCTGTCAAATTTTACACCACAAAGGTTAATAAATAAGGCCAAAGCTCTTCTTCGTGATGTGGTGGTAGATGGCACATTAGATCAGAAGGAGTTATTAATTTTAAGATGAGCAGAGATTTGACTTTGACATTTTGACTTCAAAAACAATGAGTATTTGGCAAAGAAAAGGTGGAATAAATAAAGTACTAGTATAAGGATTAAGCATAGGGGTTAAGTTAAAATACGCAGTACTTTCAAACACTCCAGTTGAACAGCGTCTACAGTTGAACTCGTATTTTGCGGTTAACCTGACCAAACATTTATTTAAAAAAAAAAAAAAAATCTTAAATACATCGCCAGGTTACGGTTATATGAAAACCTTTAATCGAAAGGGTATTTTTCATTTGCATGAGAACTCCCTTGTAAGAAGTGCCACCTGCTGGCAAGACAAAACAATTACCGTTCTGAAATAGACTTTTGTTTTTTCTCAGATAACCCCATTTCCTCAGCCGCTTCTACGAAAGTTATATTAAGCAAGTTTGCCGACTTAAATTGCCGAGAAACTTCATTTTTTAAATAAAAATTTCAGTTTGACAGTTAAGGGGGTACTTCCGTGGAGTAGAACTGAAAGAGGTACAATATTTAAACTGTTGAAACTGTTCTCACCTCGTATTTCTTTGTTGTTCCATCCTAACACCGCAAAAATAGTCGATAAATCAAACTTCTACATTACGAGAACATTTAGTTTTCTTCTCCTAATAACATTATCCTTTCTGTTATATTGTCTCACAACAAATGTCTCGTGCTGCTGCATCGTGCTGTTTCCCTCATCTTTCTGATAGACTAAACTGACCCACTGAGCTTCAGTACGAAGTAAATATATTAAGCAGGCCTAACATGTTTCATTTAGGGCTCTGTCCCACTATGCGCGCTGCGTTGCGCTTTTCACCAGAGCGCAAGTTCTGCGATCCGGTAGAACATCATACTTTACATAGAAATGATGTCCACGCTAGTGCGCTGCGTTGCAGTGCATTTTGAAACGCACTGCTGCACGCGCTTCTCTGCGCTGCGCACTCCCATTGATAACAATGAAAAATGGATACAAACGCATTCCAAAGCGTTTGTATGCGTTTTTACTCCCCCTTTCCCTACAAAAACTTGGCATCCAGGTAAAAGAGAGGAATTTCTCCGGACCTTTGTTTTATTTCTCAGTCAGTAGGGGATGGACCCAGAACCTGCGGGCACACCTTCTGTAATTGCAATTACATAATTGCAACTTTGACCACTAAAACTAAAAGAAGCTCTGCAAACATTTTAAGCAAAATGTAGTCAGGATCTGATTCCATAAATAACCTGCGATCTCCACACAAACCCACACTACAAATTTAGATGACACTGGTATTGTCTGGGTTTCTGATTTGTATATTTCAATATTTAAATATGTCCAATCACAAACACGCATAATAAAACGCAACATTAAAAAGGACACAGATAAACACATACGAGATGAAAACTAAGGTTGCAAAATTCTGGAAATGTTCCTGTTAATTCCCATATATTCCCATGGAAAGTTTCCAATTTGTAGTATTTCCAAAATTCCCCAGCTTATCTTCCCATGGAATGGAAATATTCTGCAAAGTTTCTGGAAATTTTCCATCCCTTTGCAACCCTAATGAAAACGCATGTGAAAATTCATTCAACGTGTTGAGCATTCCATTGCGTTTTTAGCTTCCCTAGTGTGAACGTACTCTTAAAGTGGCTTGAGAAACGCCAACTTAAGGACTACCCCGATCGAGACTATCCGGGTTTTATACATATACTGTACATGGTATTATAGACCATTTTATTGCGTCCATATACCAAAGGTCTGGAGCACGACGGCTGAGTAATTGTGCAAATTCCTATGTACGATACTTATATTTGGAACCAAATTAAATTCAAATATCGTGCAAAGTGATACAACTTCATTTAAGTAACAACAATTCACGGGAAGCCCAAACCCCAGATTAATTACATTATCAAACCTTTAAAACTTTTCAAAAGTTAAGTGTTTAATGTTTTAGTCAACTTATAGTGCGCAACTGTTGGAATGGCGTCGCTGTCTACCTTGCCAGTATTATAACTACAAGGGATTTTAAACCCCGGAGCTAGCAGCCACTTACGAAAAGAAAGGTGGAAGACGAATAACTAACATTATCCTTACGGTAAAGTTGGAAGCGCGGCAAAAAGCCGCCACGTAATTGCCTATAGACCTCATTTTTAAACAATTAATTCTGCGAGAACAAACTACCACTGAATCTTTGAAACAAGAGGTAATGTCATTCCTAATTTATATTCATTATCCAAATTACAGGGGTTTAGGAACACCAGATAAGCCTGCCTAATGTTCTTTAAAAACGTCTCTGTTGAAACAAAACGTATACTTTGACAATTAAAGTCACATCTTCAGACGTCAATATAGCCTGAAGTACGTATTCTGACCTTTAAATTTGTGTACTGTGCGCTTTACCTTAAGCAGGGTAACTAGATGCCTACTTCAAATCAGGACAGTCCCAGTTTCATGATGTCTGTTCTGACTCCTGAGTATTCTCAAAAATATCTAAACATATCCCTGTTTCAAACATCTTAATGTTTACCACGTATGTACCACAGAGAAGGCAAATAACGTCCCAAGAGAGCAGTGAAGCGCAGCCGCAGAGCGCTCGAAGTTCGGCGGGCTTTTCGGTAAAGCAGAGTGCAGTCAACTGTCCGTTGTAGTTGCCATGGCAACGATTTCCGCGCGTGACCCCGCCATAATTAGAGGTGCGTGCAATCAAATTCCCCTGTACCCCTAGGTGTCCCCGAATGAAACTTTATATAGTGACTGTAACCCTTAGGTCAGGGGACTCCAACCTTGTTTATAGTGAGCAACTTTTACGAAGAAAAAAAAAAAAAGTAATCGGGGAATCCCATTTAAGATTATTTGAACGGGGCGTCATAGCATGGCGCTCACCCTCCAAGGCAAAAGTCAATTACACGTCTGTACGCGAAATACAAAAAGAAAAATAACGAGTGATCCGATTTCTACTAAGTATTATGCGTTGGCACCCACTGCTTTAGGTTTTTCAGGCTCATTAAGGTTTTCAGTCTTCGGTAACGTGCCCAAGGTCGGTAACACAACTCCAGCAAACTTTAATTTCATTAGATTTGCCCTTTAACCACTTCTGATAATTGGAAAATGTTTTGGTAATATAACTCGAAATAAAAAAAAAAAAAATCTATTCACTGCTAAACAAATTGTTACTTAACAAGCATCCCTTGACTATCTGGTAATGTAGTTGTATAAATCATTTTCTGGTTTTGCCTGATAAATAATGATGTGCCTATGTGGTGAAATAAATCAGGCTGCCTGTCAAAAACATTGTTAACAGTATTTAGGCTGAAAGGATATCCCTCACAACGAACAGTAACCTTCAGTACACTAAGCATACAAGATACAGCAAGACCCAGTCACGATGTGCCACAGCATGTCACCATGGCACCTTTGCAGCTGAGCTGCAGGAGGAAAGGAGCTTAAAGAGAACATCTCCATCCCTCTGAAGTTGACATTATTACTTGTTGAAGTTAAGATCTGAAAAGCTCTCTGGGAATGAAGGAGTGTGTCTATAATCAATGACAACTGACCCAAACAAAAATGAATGGTCATATAACAGGAACCATCTATCATAAGAAAACTGCGCTCCACGAGATTCATGTCATAAATATATGCTGTCTTTAATGGATGAACCAGAGTTGGGCGTGATATAGGAAGAGTCTCCGTCCCCCATCATTTCCTTTTGTGAGTTCCAGGTGCAGCCATGGCCGCTCACATCTTTTTCCTGAGCTTGCCCTTCTTGGGTCCCCGGCCAAAGCCCGACCTCTTAACCTCACTGAGGCGCTGCCGGTTCTTGGTCTTCAGCTTCTTCAGGCTGCCGCTCTGCAGGAAACGTTCCTTGGACTTCTTCTTGCGCTGCTTCAGGATCTGTTCCCTTGTCTTCAGCTCGGAGCGTGCCTGTGGACCGCCCTTCTGCTGCTGGGGGGCTCTCCTCCCCCGGCGGCCTGGAAACAGACCCAAATGGGATTAGGCCACCCCGACCCCACCGACTATGACTAACCCATCATGCAATACTAGCATCACCACAATTTTGAAATTGCTGTTATTAATGTCAATCTATGTTAAATTATTACGATGTTACCTGCTGCCTATGGTACTTAAAAATTTCCAAAACTGCATAGTTAAGAACAAGCAACAGGGCAAGCAATACATCTAGTTCAGGGTTCTGGACCTCGATTCCAAATCCAGGCCGTGTTTTCAGTTCTCCCAAGTAGTTGTATAATAACTACTGATTCTGACTGGTCAGAGGCTTCACACCTGACTGACAGGTAAAGGAAGGCTGGAAAACCAGCAGTGCTCGGACCTCGAGGACCGTGAGTTGAATAACCCTGATCTAGATGCATGTAACTCAGAAGGCCCTACCTCCCACACCAGCCTTCCTGCCCCTAATGCCTCCAGTCTCCTCATCAGAGTCAGGGGCGCCATCGTCCACTTTGTACTTCTTCTTCCACTCCTCATAGCTGTTGGGTCAGTAGTTAAAGAAAAGAAGGCTGCTCCGTAGCAGTGCAGTGACCCAGCTTGAAGTCCGAGAAGCATCAGTCACACTCCTTAATATGGTCAGTACATTTGCATCTTACATTTTTGGATCATTTCAGAGCACAAGGATACAAGTTCTTCTTTTTCTTAGAGGAAGTGCTGACTATCCGCCCACTCTCTGTTCTGACCTTCTTCTTGTCCTCCTTCCCAGTGTCACGCACAAATCTCTTCCGTTTCCGATCCCTGTTGCGAGATTATTTAGCACACGCAAACACACCCCGAAAACATAGGCAGGAGGAAACCCAAAAGCACTTGGCCGACTCACCACTTCATTACGTTCTTGTACTGGTTCAGCTGGTTGCCTTCATCCCCCATCAGGTCAAGGATGGCAGATGATGCTTGCTTCTCAAACATGCTGCCCTCTCCTCCAAGACTCAACCTTTTTAACCAAAAGTAAAAAACAAGCATGGCTTTATACACAGTAACCTGATAGCCACATTGGTGTGAAATCACACAAGAGGTGAGGACCACAGCAGTACCAGTACTTGATTGCATAGTAATACTGGGCGAAGTAAAATAGCAAACTAAGCAGCCTAGTGGAAGTGAAGTAGTGGCCTTACCCTCTCTCCGAGTCAAAGTCCTTCGGCCTGTATGGAATGTAGAACTCCTCCTCACGAGAGGACTGCCTGATTTTCTTACTCTTTGCCACGAAACCACTCTCCTCATCTTCCTTAGCCAGCTCTTTCTTCCTCTTTCCACCAAACACTTCAGAAAATAATCCCTAAAAGATATACATTGTTACTACTAGTATTTGTATTATTCCATTAAACACAATTTTTGCTTAGTTAATGCTTTTACCCAATGCTATTTAAGTGCATAACAGTAGTGGCTCCCAAATACTCAAGCCTGAAACTCGTGAGATGCAGGTGCCTTCTTAACAATCCCACAGATTACCAGTTGAAGGAAAACTGTGTGACCACTTCCTGTCATGTGACAAAAGGCAGTGCCCTTGCTTATTTGTTTGCTGCTATTTACACAGAAAATGAAGAGAGGGAGTAACAACAGTTCAATATCTGTCTTTGGAGGATCTGAAGGGTCCTGGAGTGGTACCGACCTGCATGTCTTCATCGTCGCTCTGTTTCTCATCAGTGGGACGGGTAGTGGGCAGGACAGGCCGTGTCAGCCGATTCTCTTCCGCCCGGTCCTCTCGCGCTTGCAAAAACTTATCCACCAGGTAACTGTGCCGTTTCCTCTTGGCACGCATTACCTCACTGGCCATTGTCTTGCTGGTGGAGTTGATCTCAAAAATTGTCTATGATTAAAAGGGTGACAATGTAAAGAAGAAATGGGACTAATTCTGAAAATGGATTTCATTAACAAAATTTGCTGAAATGAAGGCAATCATTGTTACTTTTGATGGGTATAAATATAAAATCCAAATGATACAGCAGGAAGGAAAAATATACAGTCCTTCACATTAGACACTGCTTTATATTTATATATGCTCAGATACACCCATGACCCAAACATTGACCACTCCCATGTGAAGCGAATAATGTTGATGGTGCATGTCACGGTTTGTTATACATTTGGGCTTGATGCCCTGCATGCCACGACCCATTCATCTCTCCTATGATCATCAAAATTATCTGCCATTTGTACCACAGTAACCCTTAGGTTGGTTCATACTACTTGGTTCGCAACTCACATCAGCGAGTCTTGGCCACTATCGCCTTGTCAACGATTCATGGGTTTCCTTCGAACCGCTGTCAGTGGGCACTCACTGTGGCTGACCAGGAGCTCCCCACAAACCTTGCCATTTCGGAGATGCTCTGTCTCAATCATCAGGCCGTAATGATTTGACCCTTGTCAAAGTCTCTTAGATCTTTTTTCCTGCCCATTTCTTCTGAATTTAACATGCCGAGTACATGTATCGTATATTAGCTTACTATTTAATATATATTCCTGACCTTGACAAGCATCGGTTTTACAACATAGTCAACATTATTCGTTTCGTGTGGGGGTGGCCATAATGCTTTGGCCCATCGGTATATACACACAGTCAGATATACATATACACTTTAGAAATAATTGTTTTACACATACAGCTTTTGACTTGTAGCCCTTGATACTGTCCACCATTTGTAGCCGGTTCAACTCCATCTTTGCCAGTCCAGACCCTGTAAAGCACAAACTGGGCTATTACACACCACACACCAAAATGGGTATAAGGATGGAGGGGGTGCGACCACCCAGCCAACTGACCCAGTAGGGGGTGCACGGCCACCTCATGCAGCTCAGCGTTCTTGACACGCTTGATGGACTCGGGGGAAGGAGTGGGCCGGGACTTGAGGTACTGCTTGTAGGCGTTTTCCGCCACGCGCCTCAGACTCTGCAAGTCCTGCGAGTTCTCGTGGGCCGTGATCAGCTGGGCTTCCTCGTCATCCAGGATGCTCTGGGGGACCCGGCCGAAGATCCCGTCAGCATCTACATATGGGTGGGAAGGGAGCAGTGAGCCAAACAAAAACATATGCAAAAAATAAATAAAACCATCCTGTATTGTTTCAAAGGGGGTTGGTGACAACACTGGAAATATTCCAAGTATAACTATATGAATTTTAATAAAGCAAAAAAAAAGGAGCAGAAAATTCACCAAAAAATATTTTGGCAAAACTTATTGATGATCTCCATTCAGGAAATCATATCGTGAGGCTCCCCCCCCACCAAATTTTATAGCCAGCATTTTTAATTCCTGGAATAGCATCGTTTTTGAAAATACCACCCGAACGCTGTATATTGCAATATAATGTCTGGACAAATAATGCCTGAAAAATTAGATACTGCTGACGCCTAATCAGATTACTGTGGTGTTTGGAATGTCACATTTGCATGTGCATAACATGACATCAATATTAACATCACACATCATGCAGGCAGAGTACAGTGACTCATGGGTAACACTGTGACCTCACCCCTCCAAACTGATCTAATCCCCTGATGATGTGTGTGTGTGTGTTTAGAGATTGCATGTTCTGTCCATATTCATGTGGGCTTCCTCCAAATACTACAGTTTCTTCCCAGACATCAACAGTCAGGTGAAATACAGGGTTGGACAAGCTTACCTAAAGGTCCCATGCTGACATCAACATGGACACCCATGTACTGGCAAATTAACCAGACATACCATGTTTCCCCAGAGAGGGGAGGGGCCCTGATATTTGCCGGGACCCTAGGTTTTAGCCTATGATAACATATACATTAATCCGCCTGTCTCTAAATGTATCCCTTGCTGTGTTATGTGCATCAGTGTGTCCCGTCTTGTGCCAAAGACTTTCTATGCTTATGGAAAATGAATCGATGATATATAGGTCTCACACCTTGTGGCTGATCAGGCAGGGAAAACTGAACCGGCCGTCCCAGGAAGAGATGGAGATCGTAGACATAAGGCGTTTCGTCCGGGCACACCAGGCTGTACGCGGTGCCGCTCCTGCCAGCACGCGCCACACGACCTGTGCCACAGAAATACAGCATGAACCCATAGATACAACCCCCCTAGAAGACCCTGGGCCACCCTACCCACTCCCACACCCACCAACTCTGTGCAGGAACAACTTGGCCTTGGAGGGGAAGTTGTAGTTGATGACGTTGTCCAGTAGGGGGATGTCAATACCGCGTGCGGCCACATCAGTCACCAGCAGCACCATGGCCTTGCGGTGCACAAACTGTCCAATGTTGATCTTCCGTGCCGTCTGATCCAGGGCGCTGTAGATGTAGGCGCACGACACACCCTGCAAGGCCAACAACTGACACACAGATGGAGTAAGATTCCCCACAAGGCAAAAAGTCATGTTGGATTAACCCAAAGTAATACCACATCTCATGAAAACTGTCAACCACTTTTTATTGTCAAAAGCAGAAAAATATGGATTCAAGTATCTGACTGCTGAACGTTCTGAAGGTTACAGGAAGACATCTAGATACGTGCTACAGTATGGCTCCCCGCAACAACCTGGATATGCCATCCACTGGGTGGATGCCTCCTCCATAATCGACCAGGAGCATTCTCGGGGTACTCACCTCTTTCAGATACTCCACATGGTGCTTGGTGGCCACAAAGACCACTGTCTGCTCCTGAGGCTTCACCACATTGCGCAGGAGGTGTAGCAGTAGTGCAGGCTTGTCATCGACACGCAGCTGGAAGAAGGCGAGCTGGAGACGGAAGTGGCAGAGTCAGGACTTCCAAACATACATCTCACCTAAGCTTTGTGAGAAGATCAAATGAACTTACCTTCAGCTGGTCGCTCAACTTGGTGTCCACGTCCAGACGAATGAGCACTGGCTCCGTCAGTCCTGGGGCGGCACAGAGGAGCAGATGTGACTCATAGAAACCAGTAACCATTCACAAAAAAGCCAGAGCACCCATTGTTTAGTGACTGAGCACGAGGCACATACAACTTCAGTGACAGAGGTCACCGTGACTAAGAACGCTGCAACGATACTCGTACAGAGAAGATGCTCACCGGCTCTGGCAAACTCCACCAGCATTTTGGGCAGGGTGGCAGAGAACAGGGCGGTCTGTCGGGCATCCGGAAGGCGTTTGATGATTTCCTGGAGCTGCTCGGCGAAGCCCATCTCAAAGAGCCTGGCAGGGAAGTGAAGACACGCTCACTGGTATGGACACACCACCTCCACCCATCCCTGCTCAGCTCCCCACATATCCATGAAGTGGGCACCTTCTCCAGGGCTCCACTAACAGGCCATGATTTTGTGCAGTTTTAATCCTGGAGGTGAAATTACCTGTCAGCCTCGTCAAACACCACGTACTCCACACTCTGCAGCTTCAGATTCATCTGCATGACGACATGCATAAGGCGGCCTGGGGTTCCAATGATGCTGCAATGGGGGGGGGGTGACAATCAGAGATCTCACCATCCATTTTCTGCTCTGCTTTATCTATATACAAAATCAGGCATTCTGCTGCTTACATGTCAGGGTTCTCATGGAGAGCAGCAAACTGGTCGTCCATTCTGGGGAAAATCAAAAGCAAATAAAATAAATAATCAGGGCCCAGTCACATCAGCCGGCCCCAGCCTTCCCAGAATGCACAGGGTGCTCACACACTTTCACAGTGACACGGCGTACCTGTCTCCACCGAGGATCAGTGCCGTCTTGAGGCCCGTGAACTTGCCAAGCTGGAACACAGCAGCACTGCATTTACACACATATTACTTACAACCAAGAATACATAAAGACAGCAAGGGAGGGAGAGAGGGAGGGTAAAGCCAGGGAAGGAGGGTAAAGCCAGGGAGGGAGGGAGAGAGAGAGTAAAGCCTCAAGGGACTGTATATGAAATCCTAAAGGTTCCTTTCACATGACTGCCCAGCATTTGTAGTGACACATTAATCACATGTAACAGCCATAAGTATACAGACGCTCCTCTACTAACAAATGAGATACGATCTGAAAGGCTGTTCGTAACTTGAGATATTCGTAAGTCGTTATTCAACGTCATTTTAAGGGTTTACGCCAATACAAAGAACTAGGATGCTGGGAGGCTGCACACTATGTTTCTGCCCGGCGGGAGTAGAGGCGAGAAGTCATACTAGGCGGAATTGGTGCTCAGAAAAGTTGAAAGTTCGTAAGTAGAGGAGCGTCTGTATTTTGTTTCTCAATTTGGCTACTGGAGATTATAATAAAACTATGTAAGAAACTAATTGTAACCAAGTCAGTTTCTATAGCTGAAAATGTTTTGTGGAACAAAGCTGATTCTGTGGAGAGGATGTATGGAAGGGGGTGGCGGGGGGGTGTCTCACTTCTTTGGTGAACTTCATGGTCTGCAGTGCCAGCTCACGGGTTGGCGTCAGGATCAGGGCTCTGGCGCCGCTCTGGGCTTGGGGAGCCTTCAGCCGCTCAAACATGGGCACCAGGAAGGCGGCAGTCTTTCCACTTCCCGTCCTCGCCATAGCCACCACATCTTTGCCATCCAGGATGATGGGAATCGTCTGAGGATTTGCAAGAAAGAAAATTCCAATAAGCTCTCTGCTCCTCTTCTTCGTTATAGCCATTCTAGGGGAGGGGAGATTACCTTTCTCTGAATTGGAGTGGGCACTTTATAGCCCTTCTTCATTATGCCTTTATAGACAGGGTAGCTCAGCCCTGAAACAAACGCAGCAACATTAATCTTCTTCATGTCTGCACACAGACACCTTTAGCCATGTCACCAATGAAAGTAGCCTCTTACCCATGGACTGAAAGCCTCCCGATTTCTTCTTCTTCTTGTTCTGTGCCCTGACAAGTTCTCTGGTGTCAGGCTCCACGTCCGAGAGGCACTCCGACGGTGCGGGAAAACGAGGCAGCTTTCTTCCGTGCTTCGGAGAAAAAACACTGACATTTTACCCAGTGGGAAAACACAGCTGCGCCCCCCAAAAAACTGAAACTCAGATTACATCCCCGACGATCTAACATGTCATCAGACTGCAGTGTCCTAATTGTACAATTTCAGGGTATCAAAACTGTAATTGTTTCGTCTTGTTAGCATCAAATTTTCCGACAGAACGACGTGCTTTTGGCCAGTCTAACAGACCCACAGCAGGTTGTTCGTAAGTACCTCGGAGTATGACTGGTACTAACAAATTATTAAGTAGGACAACGGGATAAATAAACAGCTTAGGCAGGCGTGAATGTATTCAACAAGAGTATCAAAGCCAGCGCCATAATAATAAAAAAAACATACTTACAGACTCATCTTTGTCTATTTGGGCAGCGAGTTCAAATTCCCCACCGTCCGATTCCACATCAGGCTCTCGATTCCCTGGACGTCGTTTCTTTTTCGTCAACTTCTTCTTCCTCTGAGCCATGGCTTCCGTTATAAATTCTTTAAAATAAAGTGGAATTTAAAAACCTTGAAACTCTGAAAGACTACAGACAGATCTTCTACTAGGCAGACATTTTGCAGCACGTGTTCCCCCAGCATGCTGGCTCCTCCCATGTAGCGTATGACGCAATCCGCACAGTGTTGGCTCCACCCCTTACAGTCAGCCCGCCCCTGTTCGTTGCAACTTGCAAGAGTACTGTGAAGTTGTCCAAACGTAGACTCATCCATCCGTTTTCTATACCCACTTGACCTATGCGGAAATAAATGCAAATTCAGTGGCACCACACAGGTAACAAAACCGAAATGTGTTGTCGTCCTGCATTCTTCATCTATAACCAAGAAGCACAATGGGTGGATCGGTAACCTTTGATCACTTTCATCATCAATTAGAAGATCTATCGCGGCCAATCTTGTTTCACTCAGACGGAGGGAAAGTCGAGTATTTTGGCCGAAACTTTTGTACGTACAAAACCTGACTAAACTTTCATCGTCTTACCATGAAAGATTAGTATCGTGATGCATTATTAACGATCGTGTATGAAAATGAGGATCCAGGAGAAAAAAAAACATCAAATTAAAAGTTGTTAAAGAATCAAAGACACAACCTTGGAAGTTTGAGGCTAGTCACTGAGCAGCACACAATTCTAATAAGCTTGCTGCGTAGATTTTCCTTACTAACTAGAAGCACTAGAAGCCTTTTGCTGAGCTTAGTGGAATTTGTGAGAATTAAGCAGTGTGAGATGAACTTAATTCGAAAATTCCAAAAGCAATGCTTTCTGTCAGATTAGTTATCTTAAAAAATACAGCGAAGTAATACAGAATTCATTTCATTGGTGACACACAGTCATGTTTGCTTTTATTGGGTCTACAGAATAAATTCTAACCTAAAGTAAAATATTCGTTTACAAGAATAAACTTGGTTTGCAAAATAACTGATTTTAGTTATACGTCAGAACCTGAGTAAGGACACAATTTATATAGAATCACATAACATAGAATAACACGTTAAAAATATTCCTTTTCACGAGTACAATGTTGCTTTTTAAATGAACGATTAAGTGAACAATAGTTACCCTTCGTACATCTCTGAGTACGTATGGTCATTTAGAAAGCTTGATAAAAACAAAAAATACTAAACGCACTTAGAATGGGAATCAGTGAAGACCAAGGCCTGGATCTCTAACCTTAAACTGTCACCTAACCATTTGCATGACCACGTAATAAAAGAAAAAAATAAATTAAAAAACACCAGCAAACATTTACACTGTAGAGGAATCTCAGGACTCCCTATAATACGACCCAGTAAACTTGTAGGACAGACCAATAGGCTCTTGATTGAAAAAGAGCTTCTGCTTAAGGTATCATTAAAATGCTGCTGCCCTCTTGTGGTGTGATGGCCTAATCAGATCAACTGTGACATAATAACCGTAAAAAGCTGTAGTCAGACAGCTGCTGTATCAGCATAAACACAAGTCATAGATGTGATGAGGACTTAATTGTATTAATGGAACAATTATGAGAAAAACGAAACTGCTGTAAAAACATATGAACGGTGAGTCTGTAGTCCTGAACATAACTACAGAATTAACAGGAACATGAGGTTCCTCCCTCATTTTATAAAGCTTTAATAACTTACATTATATATGTATATAGCATGTATTGAACACTTTACAAGGAGTTTGTAATAATATCAAGTAATACTGTGGTGTTAAGGGGTTAAGAATTTACTTTAAGTGTGCTCATGAAGGAAGTGTGCGTGTGAGGACTTCCCCTAGTTATACAGGCTGGTCAGCTTAATGCGCCCTGAAACCCACACAACCCAGCACCATAGAACTGGGTCAGAATGCCTTGGTCCTGGCCGTGGAGCCGCTCCCAGTCCACATCTCGTTATATCAAGGTTGTTATGCAAGTGCAGTCTCATGATTGGTCTTTAAGTGTCATCTGATAGGTCTTCGCCCATAATTCCCTAGAGGCACAGGCACTTAATGGCATCTGTCCTCCTAGCTCCCGTGGGTGGAATAATGTTATCAGTCTAGTGTCAAAAATGTAATGCATAGAAGCGAACTGGAAACAAAGGTCCCCTCTCATTAGCCTGTGATTGGCTATCTGTCACATGGCCCTTTTCTGTAAGGTAGGTAAGCTGCACGTCCACATGGAGGGTGGTGCTGCCCCCCAGCCAGAGCACTGAGGGAGGGAGGGCCGGTGCTCAGGTCCTGTGATCCCATTAATGCCTTTGGTGAGCAGAGAACCACATGAGGAACATGGGTGGGGCGCTGGAGTGCTTATGGATCAGTCATGGGGGGGCTGGCGACTGGGGGCAAGGCTGTGTGCTAGTTGACAGTCTGTGGGTGGCTGGTGAGCTCCCGGCTGGGGTTGTCTAGCATGTCCAAGGGCTGGTCTGGGAGCCGGTGAGGATGAAGAGGGCTCTCCATGGTGTACTCCTCATACCACTCCTGAAACAAACACATTCAAACTCCTTCAGTACTCTGCCTCTTACCGACTAGTAAAGCACATACTACTACCATATTACTGTAATGGCAGCTGTTAAAATAATAGTATAAATAATGAAGATATTAAAATTATAATAAATACTTTATCAGCCTCACATGCAGGGGTGGAGCTAGGAATTCTGGGCCCGCATGCTTCTCCGACGGCCCTGCCGACATGTTACTTTCCCAGCCCCACCCCGGGACACCCTAAGCAGGCATCTCACCCGGATCTCCTCCGCATACATCTTCATGCTCAGGTCGCTCTTGGTGCGGGACCTCCGGCCCAGAAACACCAGCGAGGAGTGCTGTGAGACCAGAGAGAACCGCTCAAAACCCCTCAAATTATCAGACGGCACACACAGCTCCGGAAAAAATTAAGAGATCGCAGCAAAATTTTCAGTTTCACTCTTTTCACAGTTTATGAGTCTGTGTAAAATATGCATTGTTTTGCAAACTCCAGCTTGGTTCATCTCTGTTTCTCATTAATGAAGGGCTTCTTCCTCCTTCCTTATGGGACCCCAGTCCTGCTTCTAGGAGCCAGATACAAACTGTCCTAGCAGTGCACTTCACACCTGCACTTAATGTTTCTCATTCTTTTTGAAGGTCACTTGAGGTCATCATCTGATTTATGAGGCACTGCCGGCTAAGTTAACGGTCATTTCTGGCTTTAGAAAGTTGCTTCTGCCCTCTACCTGGCTGGTTTTTGGTCATTGCCAGCGTCTACTGCTTCACCTTGTTCCTGCGTACTACTGTCTTAGAAACATTGAGCTTGGAAGCATCATGTGCGCAGTGCAGCCTTCTGCCAGCAAAACCAGAATTAATTGTTTTTCAAGGCTGTGTAACTCCAAAGGTCAGGTAGATATAGCTACTGGTTAATGCTAGAAAGCCAAGGTCAGATAAGTTGGACTTGCAAGCCACCCTGAGTACTGTTACGCACCCCGCCACGATCCATGCTCAGCAGCACCCCCTGCAGGGAGCGGAGGTTGGAGCCTCCAGGGCAGATCTGCTTGTACAACTCCAGCGTGACGAGCACCTCCTCACGTGACACTTCAGCTTCCAGCACGATGCCGTTCTCATCTACACAAAGACAGGTAACCGGGTGAGGAGGATTCGGTATGAGGCTAACGTCGTGTGGACAGAGCCCCGGCCCACCTCGAGTGTGTCCAACCTTCAGGGTCTCCAATGAGGTCACGGTTCTTGCGGCTGTAGTTCATTCTGAAGACGAAGGCATCCAGGATAAAAGCCACGATGATCGTCATGACAACCTGGAGGACATATAAGGTGACATGCTTGGCAAACACGTACTTACAGGTCATCTGAGGACAAAATCATTCAAGTCAAAAACACAACATTTTGTCCTGTCTGGAATATGATGCATTTTCATTAATAAATAAGTAAGATTGTTGGAGAGCACTGTTGAATGTCCTTTAGGTCTTACATTTAGAATTTCATTTTGACCCAAAAAAAGTCAGTTATGCATGAGCTGAAATCGCTGGTGAAAATACTGCCAGCTGTTCGCTAACCCCTATGTCAACGAGAGAATAAGATGCTGATGAAAAGGGGAAAAAACACTTAAGAATACCTTGTATTAACTGAATGCATAGAAGCTAGCAACCAAGGAGTAAAACAGCTGGCAGCCAGCTGTACAAACTGAAGGTAAAAGCGCCTCACCATGGTGACGATGTAAAAGGTCATGAAATAAAGGCGACTCCAGTGGCTGGTCTGTGAGGTCACTCCTTCCTAACAGGAAGAGGGGGGGAGCATTATCGTCGCAACATGCATCAATGCATTGCATCAACATGCATGCAACATGCATCAATTACAGAACCCTACTGATTACAAGTCATGTAAATACCGTGCCAGAATTTACAAGTACATCACCACATATTTACCACAAACTACCAGATCTATTTAAAAAAAAAGGTGGGCATATCTTTATATGATTGAGTTTCTTTCACTTACCATTGTAATATACCAGTTGTTGACCACAGTCAGCTCAAACAATGTTACTGAAAAGAAAGCCAGAAAGAATTTCACGGGCTGACTTACAGTAGTTGAATGCTGTTACTCATTTTGCAATTGCTTCAAAGTAAAACATAAGGCACAGTGTAAACACCAGGAACTGTGTAGAACTAGTTTCCATGGGTGACGTTTCAGTGGAAGAAACTGTCAGCCACTTTGACTCTCCGTGTGCTTGCATGGCCCCCAAAATATCAGCTTGATGTTTCGTGTGCATGCCTGAGCAGGACATGCGCGTCTTTGAAGGTTTACCAAAGCTGCTGAGGATGTTGTTGAAGTTGTTGAGATAGTAGTAGCCCTCATCCAGGACCGTGTGGTTGCCCACAGTGATGTTGATCTTCTTATAGGAGTTGGCCACTGTGCTGGTGCTGGGGGGGGGGGGTGTCATGTCACAAACCCAAGTCACATGTCATGAGTCACATGTCACAAACCCAAGATCAGCAACCAACACAATACACTGATGGGAAATTCACAAGAGACATGCAACAAACTCCTGTGGAAAGTCAACATTTCCCTACTTTGTGAAACTCACTGTTGTTTCCTCTGACAAGGTTTTGGCGATACGAACAAAACAGATGGAAGAAGAAGCATTTAGCCTCCTACAGGTTTGACTAAGAGTCATGAGGTTCCTCGCAAGGAACTCGCACAGTGGCATACTTGCAGCAGTTGGGGTACACCACGTCGGCGAAGAACTCCATCCCGACGATGGCAAAGGAGTAGTAGAAGATGATGAGAGTCAGTCCTAAGCTGGGGGGGGGGGGTTGTAACACAAATGAGAATCTTGTACAGTCGTGGCTGACAGACTTACAACAAATGCTACTGACACACAGGTCCTCAAAGCTTATAATACTGAACACTAGTGAGACTCTTATTGGCATGAGGACACTGATACCAAAGGCAGAAATAGCTGCAGTGCAACATTAAGGGATGGTTGATGGTTAAGGGGGGGGGGGGCTGGGCTACCTGGCCATCCTGGGGAAGAGCTCGAACATGGTGTCCAGCACGTTGCGGTACCGCTGCTTGATCTTGAACAACCTATGAAAAAACAAACATTTTAGTTGAGCACCTGAAAATGGTCTTTGCAGCTCAAACCTACAGTATCTAACCCTGGGAGAGTACCAAGCTTTGACAGCGGCTCCGGGTGGGATTACTAAGACCAGCCAATGACAGCCCGGTTTTAACTAACAAGAACCAATCAGTGCCAGGCATCCATTGATAACTCCATTCACTAGTCACCCCTCCACACAGTGCAGGAAGCCAGATAAACTGGGGTGTTGGTGCCGGCGTCTCTCAGTTTCACCCACCGCAGCAGCTGCAGGGGTCGCAGCACCACGATGAAGTAGAAGGGCTCCATGTCGAAGGCCAAAGCCATGAGGCCCAGGAAAGCGAAGAGGGTGACTGAGAAGTCAAACCTGCGGGGAGAGAAGCAGAGACGCACTGCGCTCCTATAGTCCTGATGGCCTGTGGGGGCATTTCCCCAGTCTCCTGAACACCTAAAGTAACAGAGGTACTCACAGATGCCAGCCTGAGCTGAAATACTTCATGGGACCCAGGCCTGTGATTTTCAGCAACATTTCCACTCCATAAACTGCACAGAAGGGACATAAAGTACGTTAAGACGTATGGAGTATGGTAAAGTGATGCCCTCTGCTGACCAACCCCGGAACCTTCCATGGCAAATGCAAAACAGAATGTCAGTTGTTCTCATTGACCTATCATCTATTTATTATATGCAATGCAAAGCCATAAAAAAGAGCAAATGCTTCCTTAAAATTTAAAATAAAAAAAAAACAGGGGGCACACAAGCCTTAGATATAGTGAGAAGATCTGCCCATGCATGTCAGCATTAGTGCAATAAAATCATTAACTTGTGACAGTACTACATCAACTGAAACTCTTGCATTGTGCTTGCATAATACGTTACGTCACTGGAAAAGGACACCTTTGAAAGGGTCTTCTGACTTACTGGTAAGGAAGACTATGTAGCTCCAAGGTACCTGCTGGGAAAGGGTGAACACACCTACAGAACAAAGGAAGCCAGTCACGTATAAGAAGGTACACAGAGCAAAGACAGAGGCAGACATGCCACATGGTTCCAGAGGAGGCCTTACTGTTGGATATGTACGTCTCCACCAAGATCCACACGCCGTTCACAGCAACGACAAAATCTTTGGAGAGGAATAAAAACCCTTTATGTTTAAGGTGCTTCTTCACACCAACCCCAACGAAAGTACCAGCTCGCTACACGGGAGAAATTCTTGGATCTCCTGCTTGGCCGATAACCTTCCTGGCCTTATTCCAGCTCAGTGAGTATGCTGGCTAAGCTCAGAGCAGGGGGAAGCCGGGAGCTGGCTCTTAGAGGACTGAAGGTCCAGGCCCACATCTAAACAAACAAAGCACTTACACATGGTGTACTGGAATGGTTTGGACTTCACCAGCATATTAATGCCTGCAAGAGGAATTATTCATTATTAATGGAGGTAACCATAATACAATATTTACAATATTTTTACAAGTTAATGATTATTCGGTCGAGTTCCACCAGGATGCAAGCTAAAAAAATAATAATAAAATTAAATATTTTGAATTCAAGCGCATAATGCAGCCAACTTCACAACAGCAATATAATTAAAACTGGCAGCCGGTGTGTAACCTGCGTTTCACAGATACTGCTATTATGGAAGCTTAATTTCCACCATTTTACAGGACAACATAGCAGAATTAATATTGTGTGTGGACCTCCCGCACCCTGTTCAAGGATACAAGGACTCAAAGATTTTGTCATAAGCAAGGTACCTAAAGTCCAGAGGTGGACATTTCAGGTCCAGAAAGTAAAAATCCAGACCAGGATTTTGTTTTAACCAACCAGTTGAGCATAAAGAGTCATGATCACATAGTACTCAACTGGATGGTTGAAACAAAATCCTGGTCTGGATTTTTACTTTCTGGACCTGAAATGCCTACCTCTGCTAAAGTCAGGCTATAACCTGCAGTGAAATGAAAGCTGGTCAGCTCCACCGTAATAAAACATAGTGGAAGTAGTAGTGACATAAAAAGTAACAATATAATAAATAGATGATAGATAAGGAACAGAAAGTTATACTGAAACTAGCACCTGTACTCTCCATCCACCATCTATTTACATTCGTACCACCAAAGTTCCTGGGCATTATCAGGCTAAGTTCACTCATTGGCCACTTTATTAGCTACACCTTGATAGAACCAGGTTGGTCCCCCTTTTGTCTTCAGATCTGCCTTAGTCCTTCTCCACCCTTCAGCCATCAACAAGGCATTTATGCCCAGAGAGCCGCTGCTCACTGGATGTTTTCTCTTTTTCTACTCATTCTCCGTAACCCTAGAGACGGTTGTGCAGGAAAATCCTTGCAGATCAGTCATTTCTGAAAGACTCATACCAGCCCATCTGGCACCAACAGCCATGCGAACGTTCAAAGCTACGAAAATCACCTCCTCGTTCTGGTGTTCCATGTGAACATTAACTGAAGCTCCTGACCTGTATCTGCATGATTTTATACATTGTGCTGACATATGACTGGCTGATTAGATAATTGCTACAGCGAGCAGTTGAACAGGTGTACCTAACAAAGTGGCCAGTGAGTATATGTGGCGTGTATACTCCACACCCTGAACACAGAACTCATCAGAATTTTTTTGTAGCTCCATAACATGTGATAAGAACACAGTGCTTAAAAATGAAACACATTGTTCCAATGCAAAACAAGTAATGCTGTGCATTTTTAATGCACAGATTACACAAAAGCTACCAATTTTGTTTATATTGGACACACAGCTCATGTTACCTTTGAAAATGAGGAAAGTGGTGTGTGGAAGGTCATCAAACCAGTGCTCCCCGCTCCGCCGCGGCTGTGGGACACACACACACACACACACACACACACACACACACACACAGGTCAGCACCCGAGAGCACAAGAGAACCAATCAGAGCTCTGAAAGCAAAAATTATCCTACCTTCCACTTTAAGCCAATGACTTCATAGAAGTTGTAAAATTCCTCCAGGCTGCAATAAAAGAGCACAGTGTAAGGTGGATGGCCACAGTTAGGGTGAAAGCACAAAACCAGAGACATTTCAAAATGTGTCTGTATGTCCCCTGTGTTACAGGTAGGGGGCGATGTACCTGAGCGTGGAGGAGTCTCCGCGACTGAGGGCGTTGAATGTGAGGAAGCGGTCGCGGGCGCTCATCCGTGGCCTGTAGAAGCGCATCAGACCGTCGAACTGCTTAAGCGACACCCCGCTGGGCCTCTGCAACGGCGAGCCATCAATCTGCATTAGCACTGAGATTATGACTGTCAGCCATGTTAGACCGCAAGGCTCTAGGGGACGATGTGCGGCTGGGAACCTGCATCTTCCCAATGAATTTACTCTGAGTTTATGTGGGTAGCTGCTCGGCATGACAATAAATCACGAAGAGCATTTCCTCACCATTTGTTTTATGGCAGATAAAAACCAAGAGAATGAATGCCACTCATCTAAAACTGAGAAAACGAGCATGTGGGCTTTTCTGTTCGACTGCGGATTAGCTGAATGCCACCGGGCCGAAACAGGGCCCCACCTGGCTAAGAGACACTGACGATAACAGACAGTCGGTACTCACTTGTTTGCTGACCAGAAGCTGGAAGGCGTGCTCTATGGCTGACCTCTTGTGCAGCAGCAGCGATTTAAATTTCATCTTCTCCACGTCGTTGAAGGTGTCAAACACCACGGCTAGGAGCTAAAAGACCGGGAGATGTACGCGGCGTTCAAAATACACAGCGAGAAGATATTAATTCTCTAAATCAGCGTTTCCCAATCCGGTCCTCAGGGACCCACAGAGAGTCCACAGGACCTGGGAGGATGCAAAAATGTGGACTGTCTGGTAGGGTGCTGGAAGGGAGCAAAAACATGAACCGACTGTGGGTCCCCAAGGACCGCATTGGGAAAACACTGCTCTCAATTAATGCATCCAGCCCGGAAGACTCCAAAAGACACCCACCAGGTTCATGATGAAATATAGCTCAATGGACAAGTAGACGATGAAGAACACACAAGACCACCGGTTTTTGGAGTATGCTGGCATCATCACGTCTGGAAAGCTGAAGGAAGGTCCAATGGAGGAGGTCAGAGCTAAACCCAGCCTTAAAGCGACCATACAGTCCTATGATATCCAGCACTGGACACAAACTATGACATGCACCAAATTCCACGTTAAGGATAAAAACGGCTAAGGCTGCCTGGTGAAATGTACTCACTTCGCCGTCGTCAGGAGGACGAACAGGCTCACGATGCTGTTTTCCAGCGAATTGAAATACTATGGACAGAATTGGACCCATTAAAGGTTCCGCAGACAACCTCTAAAAAATAGTAGACCCAAAAAAATGGTGTCTCTTACCGGATCTGCCTTATTCTGAGAAAACAAATAAAATCCTGTCAAGAAAAAGATCATTTTTTTAGGGAGTTAGGGTCAGGTGACCTTTTATACAGGGGGTGCAGATCGTGCAGGGTGCGGGGGGCTCACCCAGAATGGAGAAGATGAGCATGAAGAAGAGCAGCAGCAGCAGGATGTCGATGAAGGGAGGAAGGGACTGGAAGATCTGCCGCAGGTTCCTGAGGAGCAGACGGCTGGGGTTTAGCCACAGCACTCCACGTGGGGGGGGGGGCTCCATGCGGCCGTGACCCACCTGCGCACGGCTCCGCAGTACCGGCAGTCCACCAGGAAGATGGGACGGAGGGCCCGCGTGACCCGCAGGTGGGACATCTGCCGGACCAGCACTACAATGGCCTCCACGAACTGGAGGAAGAGCACGCAGGTCTGCGGGAGGGGGGACAGAGGAGCACAGGGGAGTCAGGACATCTGGGCCCAGTCTGGGAGGCTAACCAGGGGCCCAGCAGGGGCATGGATACCCTGGGGGATTCAGGGTAGGGGTCAAATTGTCACCCATCACATACATTACAGGGCTGTCCTGTATTACAGAATAAAATGCCATCTTCTAGACTGACTCATATTTTCGAACACATTTCATCTCACCCCTTTCTCTGTGATAACCACACATTCAGAGTAAAATGAGGGGTGCCTATGCCAAAAGTGTGGCTTTCATTTCTAGAGAAAGGACGCACTTCCCCCCACAAAGCTGCCAGTGACTCTGAAGGCCCAGCTGTGCTCGAGTGCTAACAGAGTAATAAAGTCCCGCATCCACCACACACAGTATCACCCACATACTAGCTCTGCACTTCCTGCTCACACAGTCTACATGTTGTCTTTGCACAGCATAGCTAATGCATTGTCTAGTAAGCTTTCTTTGTCTGTCCAAGACAAAGTACGGAGACACACAAATGGACTGTGTTCACAGCTGTCCCACACATGCAGCCCCTCTGACTGCACACACTATCCTGCAGAAGTAAAATTTACAGTGAAGTTTCATGGGGGGGGGGGGGGGGGCGGTCCACATGTCTACCTTCACCATGGTCCTTCTGTGGCGAATGAAGGTGTGGAGGCCCAGCCAGCGCATCTTCATGCAGAGCTCGAAAGCCACCATGGCCAGGGCCAGCAGCTCGAGGGGAGCGTGGACCTGCAGGCGCAGGGCATCAGAGCAGGACATCCAGCACACAAACGTCACAGCACCCCCCCCTGCCCTGCCCCCCACCACCCTGGGTGCCAGCTATCTGACACTCCCTGCTTACCAAGGCAGGCAGCTTCGCGACCGAGCATAGTTACAAGGTAATTATTTGTAGCAAAGAAAGGATAGCATCAACGATGCTAACAATCCTCCTTGGGGCCTATGAGGCCCGAAGGGATCATAGCGACTGCGCTAAGCTAACGTGCTTTATACAGAGTGGGTTAACCACGTGTCGCACTACATGCTCATGAAGCTAGTGCTAGTTTACGGGGAATGCTGCTGACGCGGAGGAGACGGAGCAGGGCGGTACGTACGTAGACGTCCAGCCGCAGGGAGGGTACGGCCGGTGCCTCGCACATCGATAGCACCATGAGGAGCAGCCCCGTCGTCAGCTCCATCATGTAGAAGCCGTGATTGTGGGCGAACAGGTAGGCTGTCAGCGCCTTGCGGTTCCGTGGATGCGTGAAGAACTTGTCGTTGTTCTCGCCTTCCTGCAAAAGGAAGACTATCCTTAGGACAGTCAGACACACTGCGTCCAGCCACACTCTGGGCTCATCCATTACTGGTCCCAGTCCCCAGGCGATGTTACAAGCTTGATTCTTATTCAGTAAAGTAATCCTGAGAACAGTAAGTTACCTCATCTGGCCTTTTGGGCATTAACCCTCTGGGGTCTAGGGGTAGGGAACACACATTCACTGACTGGGGCATGGTCACACATTTCATTCAATATCATAAACTTAATTCATAGCAAATAAATGATTTCTTATATATTTGTTTTGGCATTAAACTCACCTTAATCTTGGTGTACTTTGTAAATATGTCAGATTTATGTGAAGTTTGTAATTTGACATCAAAGTATAGACATTGCAAAATGCAGTTTGGAACACTTGCAGAAACATTATAAAAAGTACATAGTAAGCAATGGTGGAAGTTTGTTTCGATCCCAGATATCTGATCACCAAAGTCTTGGCTACATGAAGATGACTAAATGGTGTAGATGCAACATTTAGTTGGATAAATAAATAAGAAAAACCAAACTCATGTCACTATTTCTGGCTCCTTTCATTGAATATGTAGCAACTTTCATGTGTATGAATGAGCCATTGACACATTTTTATGGTGCGGATGGGGATTTCTCTGGATCGCGTTTCACTGTTGCGCTGTTAATTAAATTACCATGCGAATGCGATTTGTATATGTGCTAATGCTATTTAGAATGTGAATAGTGATCTTCGGGTGAGAGCGGTACTACATGCCCCCGATCCAGGTAAAACAAATTAAGGTGACATGATTTACTTTTTTGCCGATTTAACCTAATTTTAAAAACTTTAATACAGTGGTACCTCAGTTCTTGAACTCATTAGACCTTGAATTTCTTAAAAGTCTAACCAACCAGTTCGAATTTTTTTTTTACCTAGAACTCGATATGAATCTCAGAAGTCAAACCGTGAATGCCGACCTAAGATAACTTGTACGCGTGGGGAAATGAGTCACACGGCACGTCTCTCAGCGGAAACAAAGAGTAACTCCTCAGTCTCAGCCTCGCATTCGCTGTGATAGCATCGTGAATGTTTACACTAGCTAAATACATATATTTAGACAGTAAAAATACATTTAGACAATGATAGACAGTAACAGTAATTATTATTATATAATAAAATACATTTAAAAATAAAGATTTCTTATTAATAATTTTATATATTATTATATATTGTTGTGCCGAGTGGGGACGGAATGGAGACAAAGGCGCAGACGTCAGGGTATCGGGGAATACGGGGTTTAAGTACAGGTAAGGCAGGCAAAACGCAGACTGACAATACAATGACCGGGCTGGGGAAACAAACTGAAACGTGGACGAAATACAGAGGACTAATGACAACAACCAGAAACAGCTAATCACACAGGGATTCCACACAGGGTTAACAAGGGGGCGTGGCACATGGAAGGAGCAGACGATCGGGGCAGGACACATTGTTTTTTTTTAACTTTACACATTGTTTGGACATATTTATTTTCTTACTTAACAAATTACTGTTTTGATAAATGTGCTTAGATGTGTTTAGTACAGTATATGCTCTTCTTGTTTTATCCGGTTCATTTTGTGTTTAAATGCTAAAAAAAAAACATATTTATATGTAATTTTTTGGGGCCAGGAACCAATTAATTGGTTTTCCATTATTTCTTATGGGGAAAATTCGATCACAACTCGAACTTTTTAGGATTCAATCTGGAGTTCTGAACGGATTAAATTCGAGTTCTGAAGTACCACTGTACATCTGACAATGGACATTTTGAAAAGAAGACAGATTACGGATTTAGTCAGCGTTTTTTTTCATGTTTCTATAATAAGATTTCAGCGAGTTATGAACTGAAATCCACAAGAAAGATACGCAGCATTGCCGACGATGCAGTTGACTCCAGAGGGTTAAGCAGCTGCTAATTAGGGACTAAGTGTTAGTCTATATACAGTCTACAGCCCTGAGGTTCTGGGAGGGTCTAAGGAAGACCTAAGAAGCTTTCTCACCTGCAGGTAGATGGCAGCTTCCTGGTAATTCATCTCCCAGTTCTGCCGCAGGCCAGCAGACTGGGACCGGCATTCCGGTGGTGCCGGGGTGGGGGTAACCGTGTTGTTAACAATGTCGTAGCCTCCGCCATCTGCACGGGAACAGAGATTTTGGGGTGGTCAGTGGCCCAGGCACACAGACAACGCCACCATTCAAAATGATGGTAATTGGTTTATCCAATTAAGGCCAAATTTAACATTTATAATGCAAGGTCAGCACCGATGCATTTCATGGAAACCACTGAGCAAAAACAAGACTAAATAAGTGGCCTTGTGATGACGAAGGACACCTCACACACTGATAAAACTTAGAAATCTCTGTTCGCTGACGTAGGCTAGTCAAAACAACAGAACACAAGCAAGTAGAATCCCATCATCTGCAGACATTTCAGTGAGAAGGGTTCATTATGTCAGGAGAAAAGATGACCAAGCACTCATTTTGGGTGGAGAGTTTTTACTTTCGTGGTCGACATACCCAGAGAACCCACAACCAAGCAGTAGGAGGAGGACACTAATGGGACCTCCTGGAACGTGGCCTGGTCCACGATCGCAATGTCAGCGTGGCCTTCCTGCATCGCCAGAACCTTCTGTGTAATCGTCACCACACTGCCGTTAAAGTACAGCCAATCTGGAATTATTGTCCCTCAAAAAGGCATCAAGACATGAGGAAAAATACTGCTTAAACATCCACTCTTACTTAGTCCCACGCACACCTTGAAATGAATCCAAATCCTCATGACTAGTTGACTGGAATAGAGGGCACCTCCTCACTCAAAGAGGCACCTCCAAGATAAAGCCTGGATCCAGCGCAGTGTGCAAGAGGTTAATATTCCATATTAGTATTCCACATGGTGTGTGAATCCTCAGCTGTTCCGGGTATTTCGTGCCACTCACTGACTGGTGAGTCTCTGCCGGGCGCTCAATACGAAGGCTGCCTCTGCTTTAAATGCCTGCCTTTCGCTTCCCCCATTAGGGGTAACGACCCTCTTCAGTTTATTTCCTCCCTTCCCAGCCAGGCAGCTTGCCAGTGGGCTTATTCCTGTAGCTGGTTAACCGTTAACGAGAAGCACCATCTCGGTTACAGCCTGCCGATGCCACTAGACTGCACCAGGACACTGCGATTAGGCACGACTTCACTGGATCAGCCCAGCGGACGGGTCTGTGGTGTCCCTCCAAAGCCCAGATGGAAACACAAAACAGGAGGCACAGCACACCAATCAGTTTCGGTTCCTGTGACAAAAGGTCACAAAAAAACGAAATAGAAACAAAAAAAAGAGCCCCGGAAATAATTTTGGGATGAGCTTTAAAATTGTTCCCTTGAAAAAAAATTAAAAGTTGGGCTCCGCGCCGTCACTGCGCCAGGATGTGTTCAAGGCAGATCCTCAGCCTAAAGCGATCACATTAAAGTCACAGAAATGCATGTGGTAAAAGACGTCTTTCCACATGCAAAGGATCGTTCATGAAAGATGCCCAAATCCAGACAGGCGGGGCCAAATTTCAAAACTTTCAGCGATGAAATGATGCGATGAGTCAAACCACATAATACTGATAAGGCTTGATCCATAAGGCAAAACAGAGCGAGAACGCCCAGAAGATCGGAGTATAAAGGGTGGGGACTCCAAATTCCAGGGCAAGTCCCTGGTTCCCGTCCCGCCTCAAGTTTCCGAACACATCGCTAGCAACACGTCTGACGACACACAAAGGCAAATTCGGGTTTGAACAACCCCCATTTTGTTCTGTGGTTACATAAGACGACACCAAAAGTTCTTGACCATTTGCTTTGCTCTTTCGCCCCTTGGTGCCATGTGATCGTAGGGGGATGGCACCGTAGTGGGATTCTCTCTGACTGACTTTCACCCCACTTAAAGGTTAACTTTTCTAAACGTGCCGTCTGTCCCGCAGTCGAGAGGACTGTAAACAAAGAGCCCTGCAGCTTACAGTGTTTGTTCACTGAAGAACAACTCTACTTTTTTCTCTCTCAGTCAACAATACAGAGCATTCAGTCCAGAAAAGGGTCGCCGCTCACAGTGGGTCCCCTGGCTGAGACTCCATGGGAGGATGATGGACAAATCCAAATCGAATCAGCTGGGCCATTGTCTGAGGCAAGTAACCGCTCACAGAGTCCACTTTGTTGACCCTTCTACTGTCTGCTATGCACAGCACCCTTAGATGCATCTCTAGCCAATAAAAAGCTGGCTGAAACTGTTGTTCCCTGCTCCTTTCAACCGAGAGATAATCCAACAAGTGAACGAGGCACATGCCACACAGACAGAGGCCGGAATCCACACAGCACACTCACATCCAATGGGGCCCACAGCAGCGTGGGCGGGGGAGGGGTGCTGCATCAGTTACACCGCTGACGGGGCAGTTTCTAGCGACCGGAGTGGTACAAAAGCTGCAAGATTAATGACACGGACTAACGAACAAGTGGACTTCAGCCTGCCATGTTCTTCACCCTTTAAAAAATCTCGCATAGCTCGTCACGCAAGTGGAGGGGACCTCAGCTGCACGTTGCCAACAGGAGATACTGCAGAAGGCCGAAACCTAATTATCAGAAATTAAACATCACCATTTACATCCCTAGTAAGCTTTTCACGTGAAAGCACCTCACAATCACAGAAATCATACAAGAAAACATGAAAACAAGCCTGAAGCTAAAAAAATGTTAGCAAATACAATTTTACATTTTTATGCACTTTTAATATCCGCAGCAATTAGGTCAGATGAAGTGCAATGAAAAAGCAGAATTAAAAGCTACCTCTTGTTAATGACACAATGCTATTCTCCTCTATAACTACCCCCCACTACCATCAGCTATAGAATCAAAATTAAGTGCTGTGGGGAATCCTTGGCTTCCTCTTTTTTTAATCTTGTCCACACTTTATTTCCCTTATCTGGTTCAGTTGATTTATATTGGTCATCACTGTGTTCGGTCAGTCACGTGTCCTGCTGCCCTAAATAGACCAAACGAGATGTGAGGAGGTGGCTACACTGCTGGGCTTCACAAGGCTGCATCAGAAATGTCAGTACAGGACATATCATTGCACAAAGCGTCCCATGTGATCAGCTTCATACTAATGTGCATAAGAAGACAACACTGTCTGCATCAAAATCATGCAGACACTTAGGATGCGCATTTCCAATGCAAACATTCTTCATGACATATTAGGTACAACTCTGAATAAAAACAGGGGCTTGAATCATGGACTAATTTACAGCTAAGACCCAGTCTTTGCATATCCTTATGATGCCCTCATGAAAACAGAACCATGACAGTATCTGCGTGTCACACAACACTCAAACCTTCAGCTACACGCAAATGCACCACACTAAACACAAGCAGGCACCTTTCAAAAAAACAACTACTTCCCCTTTTTATTAAATGGGAGGTTTCTGGAAGGAGTACTAGTCAACTAGCAACATGTCTTAAACCTAGTTTACTTGGACAACTTAACTAGGTTCTTTTAATAATCCATCAGTCCATCCATCCATTCTCATGATGAGTTTGGAGTCTATCCCAGGAAGTACAGGGAACAATACCAAGGGACAAGACAGTATGCCAGTCACTTACAGGACACCCACTCTGGACAACTGAGAGACACCAAACAATTTAAACCACGTCTTAGGCCTGTGGGAAGAAACACGTGTCAGCATGGAGGAGCAAACGGCACGGACGCAGCACACCAGGACAGGAAGTGACTCGCTAACCCTGAAAGCGTGAGGCTACGGTACTAACCAATGAGCCACTGCACCACACCCCCCCGTTTAAGAGATTTAGCATAAGGAAGAAGAGAACTGAAAGCAACCTTTACTGACAACTGTCCCGACAATAAACGATATTAAACAGAAAACTGGTTCCTTGAAAACACACACATGACAATCCATAAGTGGTGTCTAAGAACTGTAAAATAAAAAATACAAAAAATAGCAAGGTTGCAATTATTGCTATTTTTACTGCTACTGACATTATTATGTGGTACTGTAATTTTGTAGTGTGTTGTCTTTGTAATTCAGCTTTCAAAATAAAAATAAAATGTTAATTACTAAAAAATGGGTGTTGAAAAAGATCACAGGGCTGTGTTCACGCACTACGACGACACACTGAGAGCGGTCTGGGAGGGTCGGTCTCCGGAGACCAAAGCCAAGCGTGCTTGGAGGATTTTCTTGATTAATTCAGGATTCATCTGCTGCCAATTTTAGCAGCTACCCTCAGATTGCTAAGTAGAGGATATCGGGTCACATGGAGATATTTACAGTAACATTTAATTACCACTCAGTCAATACATTTCAAATAAATGTTTTCAGCACCATTTTGAGCACCACATCATATAGAACAGAGAGCGGCATGGTGGTACAGGAGATAGCACTGTTGAGGCACACCTCTGGGAACAGCGAGTCTCTGTACCAGCTCTAGGGTTGCGGAGTTTGCATGTTGTCATGTCACTGTCCAAATAAAATGTTAAGGTGGATTGGAGTTAAACTTTTTATAGGTGAGTGTGTGCCCTATGATGGATTGGTGACCCACTTGGGTTATTCTCTGCCTTGTGCCAGGAACTTCCAGAATAACCCTTTGACCGCCGGGACAATGCAGGGGACAGGTGGGTATAGAAAAATTGATTGATGAAACTTACAGAATTGCATTTTTTTTTTTTGAAAAAGTCTTTGCTTAATTTACATTACCTAACAACATAGTGTTTTACATTTATTTTGATGACATCATTGTTTCATAGCTGCGGTAAAACCACACCCAGGGTATAACGGTATGCGTGCCAGGTGATGGACTGGCGCCCCCTCCAGGACGTCTGGGACAGACTCCTGCATAAGTCCCCTCCATGGCCCTGCACTGGATATGTGGCCAGAAAATTAAAGTATGGATGTTTATTCAACAAATGTTTACAAACGGAGCTGTCCAGCTGAATGATTACAGAGTGCCTTAAAAAGAAACACTTACTGCCGCCGGCTGGCTCGGCTCTGTCCCCATCCTCTACAGGCAGCAGATCCCCGCTGGCGTCGTCCCAGGTGAGGATCAGCGGCACGTCGTCGGTGTCAGTCTCCGCCATCCTGGCGCAGTGACGGCGCGGAGCCCAACCCGGCCGATCCTTTGTAACAGTACATTAATATCATTATTACTGCTGTTGTTACTAATAATGGCACACATTAATACACAATATCTCAGTTTTCCCTTGTGTCAACATGTCGTAGTGCAACATTTTGGGGCTTCTTACTTAAATATATATTTAATCTTACATTAACCGGATACGCTGTACATAGACAACTGGATATACTTGCATAATAAGGTTGTGATATTACATAACTAACCCGCCTGCGCTCCTGCTGCTGGTCAATCAGTGCATGTTTATTACGTGTAAAAACTCCTGCAAACTTTGTCCGACCCCAACCGGGCTACCAGAGTAAATACCTGCAAATGCGCGCACAATCGCGGCCGGGTTTACCAGGCAAACACCCTTAAGGCACACTGGTTAGCTACATGGGGACGACTAATTAACAGCTAACTAGCTGCGTAGTTTAAGTTGCCTATTCGGCCGCCCTCTTAGCACTATCACTCTGACAGTTACATTAAACTAGGCAGCCGATCAGTTAGCCTCTGTAAAACAAAGTACGCAGTCGTGTTCTGTATGTTTCATTAATCAATCACTTATATGACAAGTGTTGAGTTACAGAATGAACAAGTTAGCGAAGTTTAAAAAAAAAAAACATTATAGCAATGTACTTGGCGGACTGTCACCAAAGTGGCGAGCTCGCTAAAGGCTTAGCTTAGCAAGTCTCCAGCCCGTAAGTTAGAGTCAGATACCGAAAAGACGTGCATTACCGGAGAAAAGCCAACCAACCTAGCTAAGCAATGACGACTCGACACATTCTGGTAATTGCTTTTCCCCCAAATTTCAATACCGTTACTGGCACATCCTACACTACCCGCATCCCGAGTAAAGAAACAGCTAAGTTCAAGGCTGCTCTTTCTCACGTGAATTTCACAATATGACGTTGAACAAGAAAAGCGCAATATCGCCACCTTGTGTTCCGGAGTTTTTTGCTTTCACCTCAAACCATCCATCCATCCATCCATCCATTTGTCCTATGCAGCGTCGAAACAGAAAATATTGCCATTTTTATAATCGTAATTAACCTAAAGTAGCATACATTAGATACACATTAACATTGGATACACATTGACATTTTTTTCTAATTCTTCATATGGCCATTTTAAGATACCTTGCATTGAGGAATTGATATAATATAAAATAGTACAAAGAAAGAAGGAGAATAAGCATTTACATGGACTTTTAAGATGCTGCATTGTGATGTCACTAATATGGACTTCATAATAACTGATATGCACTTCAAAGATGTGATTGAATTAACATTTTGCAAGCTCTGCATTTATCTCATACGGACTTATTTTTATTTTTAATTATTTATGCCATTTCATACTGCTAAGTTCAACGATTTGCTTCAAACTGAATTTCGTTGTATATTAATATGCAATGACAATAAAGGATCTATCTATAAAAATGAACAAATATCCAGTTATTTAAAATGTTGAAAAGTAAAAATCTTACTTGCAAGCACATGATAATATTATTTTTTAAAAATACTCCTTTATCATCTATTTTCCAACCACTTATACTCCTCAGTCGGTCCCATTGAAGCACAGTGTACCTCACAGGTGTACACCCTGGATGGGGGGGGGCAATCCATCTCAGGGCACAAGGGCAATTTGGGGAAATTAATTAGCCAGTGAGTCTTTGGACTATAAGAAGAAACCATTCTTATACATTACAGGTCTGAGCTAACAGTGTTACCCTCAGAGCCACAATGCCAGCATGTTACGAATCTATATATAAATTTAATTCATGCAAGAAATGATCATTTGCATTGGTATGCCTTGTATATATACTGATTGCCCAGACCATAAAATTGAGTATTCATTTTGTGAAGGTGTCGACAGTAAGAAGGTATGCTAGCTAAGTCAGGAGATGTGAACCAGAGGTAGCAGTAACATGAGATGCAGAGCGGACGCTGTGTGCATCTGCATTTAGAGAGTGACCAGCCTCTCCAGATCCCTGCCCCAGATTCTGGCTGCTGAGAATCAGTGCCTTTAAATAGCCCTTAATGTATGCCCATTTACATGAATGTATGTGCATGTTAGTCAGTGCTCCTGTGATGGACTGATGGCCCATTCAAGGTGTACCCTGCCCTGGATCACCGTGCCCCAGTTTGAATGACTGGCTATTTAAAATGGATGTGTATCTGGATATACAGTACCGGGTAAAAGTCTTCGGCAGTCAAAGAAACTTATGTTTGAATGATCTTCATGTTGGTGTAAAAATATGATGTCTGTCAAGATATGTCAGCTTGGCCGTTTCGAAACCTCTCCTAAAATCATCCCAGTATTTGCAGCAACCATCCAAAGGACCGATGTGTTTTTTTGCTCGACCACTACCCTTCCTTGTTTGGGCAATCATTACCTCATTGAGTTATTTAACAGATTAATGAATTAATTGGGCTGGTGGTGAAATTTAACAAATACAGAATGGCTAACATCAGTAACTTTTTGGATAACAGGAGAAATTCTTATTTTTTATTGCCGCTGTTAATTTGCATATGTTCTAATGTTAAATTGTGTTTTTTTAATTAGCAAATATACACTTATTACCCAGAAAAATATTTTTAATCAATATCTATGACTGCCTAAAACTTTCGCACAGTGCTGTATAGTGTAGCCACCTGTCTGGATCTCAGCTCCCAGGAAGGTCTGCATGGTCTCCAGTTTTAACCGAGTGCCTAATTAATTATGTTAAATTGCTCTTGGACTACCTCCACTGGCTGGTGCTATGAACTCTTATGGTGTAGAAGGCTTTGCTGCTACCATGCATGGCTGGTAGGGAAGCTGCACCACCCGATCAACATAGTTTACATCAAAGGCACTTTGGTCCTAAATACTGACACATGTGAGTATCCTCAGTCACGATGTTTCCCTATGCAGTCCTCAGGGACCCAGAGACAGTCCACGTTTTTGTTCCCTCTCAGCACTTTGGGAGGAGCTACTGGACCATCTCTGGACACACTGCTCTATCAGAAAGGGCCAGAAAAACAGTCACTCTCTGCCTGGGCTTAATTTATTTCTATAGGAAACAAGATGAAAATGTCATATATTAGCTGTACCACCTAAATGTAGCCCTGAATGAACGCATCTGAATGCATCCTGACTTCTGCTTATGGCCTTGTCTGGGGTCTCTGATCTGTTTTACAGTGAGAGCTACGCATCTGCGGGAGTATTGGCAGTAAAATTGGTTGACTGGACAGAGGGGATTGGGGGGCTTGGTGACAGGAAAAGTTGTAAACTACTCATTGGCTCCTTCTGAGCTACTGTAAGCCCGCAGCCAACACGTTGGACAGACAAATTAATTCTGCTTGCACTTAATTCAGCGCCTCCATCGGTCCACTCACATTCCATATCCGCTTATCTAATGTACGCTCTCCCTGGATGGGAATCCCCTCCACTGCAGTGCTGTATAATATGAAGCAGTGTTTGTGTTTTATCATAGGTCAGGGGTCACCAGTCTTTTTGAAACTGAGAGCTACTTCATGGGTACTGAGCGATACGAAGGGCTACCAGTTTGAAACGCCCTCCTAAACTTATCTAAACTTCATGTATAATAAACATTTTTTTAGATATTGTTTCTTCATGGCTTTTTTTTAGATATTGTTATTTTCAAATCTATATAAATACAAATGTGATTAAAGAAGAATAGCAACAGGATAAAATTAAATTTTAGACGCTGCTCACTGGTGAGTTGTGCTATTTTTAGCACAGGTACGCGGGTGACTCATGTGGTCCTTGGGGGCATCCTGGTGCCCGCGGGCACCATGTTGGTGACTGTCACGACAGAACACTCCGGTGAGGTCCAGAACTCTTTATTGGGGAGAGACAGAATCGCTCGGAAGTGGCATGACCAACAATACCTCGCACAGAGCGATCTCCGTGCAGAGTTTAAGTAGTTGGGTAGGCGTGACGCTAATTCATGACGGCGGTGCCGTCCGCCGTCATGACAGTGACCCCTGTCATAGGTAGCTAGTGCAGAGCTTAAATGTAAGTTTGGTTTGTTTGAAGTAAAGGTGTTCATACTGAAAAAAATATTCCTTCATGAGGAACATCTCCCAGGCAGATATTTTCAATATAAATTTATCCTTAAAAGCCCAGATTCAGGATATTGCCCCTTTGTATGTTTCTTTGTCTGGATGCATTAGTCTGTCATTCCAGGAATCATTTGGCCAGACATTTTGATTTCCTTAAAAAGGCATTACTATTGATTAAATCTAAAATTATTGTGGAGTAACTTATTTGCTTTTATATTCCTGCTGGAACAGACTGGCCATTGCATAAATCAATACTTCATGTACTTTAAATTATAATTGCATCATTGCATCAAAATTAGAAAGCTATATGGAAAAATTCTGGATTTTCCAGTGCTATAATGATTATTTTCTATAGTATTTTCTTCTCTAGATTCATTTTTAAATTATATCTATTATATAATATTTATATTTAATTATATATATATATAATATTTAATGACATTATTTTATATCATTTTAAAATTATATCTATATCATAATAGAAAAAGTTTGTATATGTGAACCCTGTAAATTTCAAGATATTAAATGTGATGGTTATGTGTGTTTTGTGTATCTTATCCTTCTTGTTACAGTTGCCTCAGCATAGAATCTTATCTTTGTATTGCTTATAGGGGTGAATTAACAGCCCTAATGCATCCGGAAGTAATTACTAACATTACAAATTTATACTTTCCTCATTACCGAAGCAATTTCTCCAAGGTACAACAGGACGGTCCTGCCAGGAATATGAACCCCCAACCTGGGTGTCCGTAGGCCGCCTGCTGCAGGCTTTGCTTTGCTGCAGCTTTTGAAATCTTTAAAATGACAGCGGCATCTGTGCTGCCCGGGTCCCAGAAACACCGCAGTCCCTGCTAATCAGCCAGAGTAAAACGCATGTAACACACGTGTAACACGTTGCTTTGCCTTGGGAGTTTTGTCCATCAGTTATACCCAGAAGTTTCTCTGACTTCTTAAATATTTCCTTGGACAAAAATCAGCTTAGCATCCCTGGGCTTTAATATACAGATTTCAGTCAAAGCATTTTTTATGGTTCGACTTAGACGGACGACGTGTCGGCAGCTCTCACTGTTTACACCAAGAGGGATTGGTCTCTCTTTCCCAAAATAGTGTGTAAATGTGCAGTAAGCCCCTCTGCCAAGATCATACTGACGTAAAGCTCCTACACAGAGCGACACGTGTATCAGGGTGCGAGTGCATTGTGTGCAGTGACAGTGTTTGCCACAGCTCCAAGCACACATGGGCGTCCCCTGTTCACCACAAACAGTCACTACGGTTGGGGGGTGACTTTACATTTTATTAATTTCTCTGACATATTTTAACTCAGCTTGTTGAGAATGACAGTGTTTTGATGGTGCCCAGAAACACACCCATCCCTGATTAGGTCCTGAAAAGTTCGGCTAATGGCCTCACATGTCTTCCATAACCAGCCTCTGTGATCCAGTGCAGGGGAGTGAGGAGCCCATTCCTGGAAACATTAGGGCATGTAGCAGGAGAATACACCAGAAAGGATGCCATTCCATCGCAGGACATGCGCTGATACATACTATGAGTATTTTGGGGACATAAGCCCCGCTTAGATATTTTGGGATCCATGAAAGTATCCTATACTGAGCCTTCAACTCAGACCAATACAATTATGTTCCTACATTTTGAAGGCTGCTGAGTAGAATCCTCCTCCCTTGTAAGGAACCCCTATTTGGAGACGCCAGTTCACTTAACCCACATGTTTTTGGACTGCAAGAGGAAACAAGAGTACCGGGAGAAGATCAGTGCAGATGCAGAGAGAAGAATGGAGGAGATGTGGGGACACGGGCTTCTCTGCCCTACATGTTAAGCTTCATTTTGTAGGCAGAATTAACAAACACGACCAGTGCTGTGTTCCATTGAAATTAAATGGAAATAATATTTGTTTTATGTCCTGGGAGAGAGACTTTCAGAGAGTAAATGTCTATAGCATATACATTAGACGATCTGAAGCGAACGTAAACGACAAGCGGCTGATCGCCATGGAGATAAGTGAAAGCCCTTGATTCCACAGATGCAGGAACGACATCCGCATGGCCTGTCGATGGCATCGGACACCCGAGTGGTAAAAAGACAGTTAGCTGTTACTCTCAGCCCGGGCAGCCATATTAACCCCATTATCGGGACGCGTGTCAGCGAGGGTCTGAGTCTCCCCGGAGGACGCCGATGAGACCAGATAGGGTTTCGCCCAGGGGGGAGCCCGGCAGCCTGAGCTCCAGGGAGGGGCACAGAAAAATACACACAGGTTGGAGGTGATTTCCACGCTGGCTAAGCTGCCCCTGGCATTCTGCTTTTTGATAGCGGCTAAAACTGCATGTAGCTTGTAAACAATTAAAAACAAACTGCTGTAACCTTCTCCTAGATGCAGCTATTGGCAGATGCTCGTTTAAATAGCCTAGGAGGAGAATGAACATTTTCACGCTTTTGTTTTTTTTTTTTTGGAAAACTGCTCAAATTCAGAGTCCTTCTTCTCTCTCCCTCGCATTTCTTTAAACTTTTATTTTAAATATTTCCGTTTATTGTATCTCCCTTGAATGCAATGTAACTCTGTCCTCTTATGTGATAAAAAAACAGGTCATGTAATTACCTTAAGACGTAAACCTTTGTTTTAAAAAGGTGGAAGTGGTCAGTTATAATTCATACTTTGAGAAATTATATTTGACCGATGTTTTCCAGAAAGGAGACAGAATGTTCCGGAAGGAGTGCAGTCTACAATGGCTGCCACATATCAACATCAACTTGACAGCACCAACTAATAAGGGCAATAATAAGATGGTTGAAACCAAGAATTGTGCAGAAATAGTGTCAGTTTTTGTTCAGAGCACAGATATCAGTCTAAGCCCCTCAGAGTTTCAGATTTCTATTTCAGTACAGCTGATCTTCACGGGATTGTCTCTGTCACCGTGTCTTACCAAAGGAGACAGGGTTCATGCCAATCTCTCTGTGAACCTGGATGCTCAGTAAATGAGTTGGATGGCAAAGTGTAGGTGGATGTTTAATGAAATACAGCCAGTGACACCACTGGTAGACGGAGCCAGCGAGGCCCGGAAGGTGGTATTCAGGCCCACGCCGCCGGACAGCGATGGCGATCTCTCCGCAGACGGGCAGGGAGACACCTGGGAGGAAAGTGGAGAAGTTGCAGTCACTGATCTCTGCAGATGGAGGGCGGGACCGTCTCCTTCAGCACGAGGTTAAACCCCCCCCCCCGTCGTGGGTAGACGAGGGAGGGAAACGTGTGAATGACCTGGCTGTATTCACTCACTAGAAGACTGGAAGACTGAGGGGAATGAGGGGACTGAGGGGACTGAGGGGACTGAGAGGACTGAGGGGACTGAGNTAATTCATAAAGTATTAAACACAGCTATCACGATTTATAAAGAGGCATAACACATAATAGTGATGTTTATTACGCATTATGAATGCTCTATGAAGTTCTATAATACAATTTTGCTGAATAAAAATGTGGACTACCATTTAATGCCCATTCTTTACTGTATAACTGCCTTTCTTCTGTGTCCTAATGACCATTTTCCCCTTTGCTGGATCTCATATTAATTGGTCACGTCGAAAATTGTTTCAAGAAAACGCTACATGCATTAAAAAGGCAGAGAGACGCCATAAAGCCATTCCCAGTTTTTACTACCCAACCAAAACACAAGTCCTCACAGCACATAAATTACTAGCTCACAAAAAAAAAGGAAAAAAGCATATCAGACACACTTTGATCAATGGAGGCTTGTGTTTCCATGTGCAGGGCACATGCAGGCCTGGCTAATAAAGAAACAAAGTCTGCTGTTCAGGAGAATGACCCCCACGACCAGCCACGCCCCGCTTTCCGTGCCCTCCACCCTTCAGCCAGCTGCACACTTTGGTCTATTTACTTTCTCTGCAAATAAGAGGTGCCATGTCAGACCTTTGTATGTGTCTTCCAGGGTTGCTTAACTATTTTCAAAGTAAATATTGAGACAGTACTAGTGGAGTCCTAACAAACATGAACAAACATTACAGGGGCAGTTCACCCCAAAACTGATATGGGACTTCAGTGGGACTTCCGTGCTATCTATCCATCTGGTTTCCTGGAAATTGCTTAGTTTTGGAGATATTGGACGTGGAAATGTCGGGCTTCTCTCAAATATAATGGGAGCGAATGGCATTCTTTCTGTGGTGTTTAAAGCACCCAAAAAAAAAAAAACATTTGAAAAATTCAACAGCAATGTCTCTTACCAGATACCATGACCCGGTTATTGAAGATAATCCACAGATTTTGTGGTGAGCAGTTTAATGTAGGGACTATTTTCTCCTACTGAACTCCACACACCAATCGTATCACTGAGCAGAAGATACGAGTACGAGCGCTCCGGCGATATCTTCTGCTCAGTGATACGATACCTTTTTTTTAGTTTTGGGGCGAACTGCCCCTTTAACAAACACAAGCAAACTGCACTCATTTTTTTAGATTTTTATGGACAGGATATCAAGGCTCAACTGTGGCCAGAAGAACATCTGCTATGGGGAGCTAGAGATGATGTTACACTTCTGGCTTTCTTCGACCAGGACCTACAGCATGCACTTGAGTCCTTCAGTGCCTAGTGCAAAGTGGCAGGGGTGGGATTCAGCACTTCCAGATCTGAGGCCATAGTGCTTTTCCGGGAATGCTCCTTTCAGGTGACGGGGAGAGTCAGGTGTTCACAAATGCCAGAAATGAGAGTTGGGTTTTAGTGAAGACACCATGATGGCGTTCACAAGTGCCAGTAATAGCATGACAGGCGGATGAGTTTGGTGGCTGCAGTTTTTCAGGGACTGAGTGGGTCCATGTTGGTGAACCGGGAGCAAGTTAAAAGACAAATGCTGTGGTTCACCGGTCAGTCTGCACCCAGATCCTCACCAATGGGCATGAACTGTGCGTAGAGCTCAAAAGATCAAGGTCAAGAGTATAAGCAGCCGAAACGTGGTTTCCCTACTGCTCGGCCGATGCTCCGTGACAGGGGGAGGGGTTTGGAGGTCTGAAGGAAACATCCGGAGGAGCTGAAGCAGTCTGGGCATCTTATCGGGATCCCACCTGGTCGACTCCCAAGCAAGCTGTTCAGGGTATGTCCCAGCGGGTGGCTGGGGGGCATGGCATACCCAAGACACACTGGGGGGATTATATCTCCCAACTGGCTTGGGAAGATCTGGAGATCACCCAGAACATGCTAACGTCTGTAGCCACTGCAACCCTCACCAGTGTTATCAAGCTGCATAAAGATGATGATCTTCATTCACTAAAAACTATGAAAAACCGGTATTAGACGGATAATGTTTACAGTTTTTCTTGATTGCTTTGGAACATTTCATGAAACACACTTAACATTCTCAGGGCTATTAGAGCATTTCTCAAAACAGTTCATGCATATAGCACAACACTATGGTTTAGCTGCAAAAGCCTGTAACTCACCCAAGAAAAATAACTCGTGTCTCAAAAGTAAATAATTCTATCTATGGATCAGTCAGTGCCACCAAAATAAAAAGTACAATCGTTTTAACCATGAGAGTCATAATGCTTAGATATATTGTCAAAACACAATACAATAGTAAACAAATCAGTCACACAGTCAAACAGCAAAATGGCAATACATGAACAAACAATGATAAAATCAGGTGCTGCTGCAACCAAAAACACAATAATGTCAAATCGCTGCAATTTATGGAATATATTTTTTAATTACTTTAAAAACTTGATTAACTCTTTTGCATGTGGTGACTAACACGGTTATCACATACATATATAGTTTTGGGTGCACAATTATCACAATGGGAAACTACATAATCCATTTCGACCAACAAGACTAAAGCAACTGAAAATTGTGCCAAATGATGGACAATTGTACAAAACCAATTGCAAACATGCACTAAAACATTTGGAAATATGTGTGAAACAATGAGAAATTATGTTCTGCTGTGCAAAGGTGACATTATGGTGTTGGGGATTAAACTTGTTGTTTTGCAAATGTTAACTGTCATTTGGGAAATGCTCCAAAGCAATCGAGAAAAACTGTGATGCTTTAATAGATAGATCATTGCTATTATTCTTCATTTTCAGATTGATATCTGGAGATCTTTTAGGCAAACAATTATAAGCAGACCGCATATAAACAGAGAAAAGTACAAATGTACTGTTGACTAGTATTTGTTATTAATAACTTTTTCATTACATGGTGGAGCCCAGTGGGCGACAGTAAAGTAGTGGTGACCTGACTATTTTTCACGCACACCTTAGTCAGCCAGCAGTAAACTCACTGCTGCAGCCACAGCAACAGCAAGCCAAGAACCGTGCACAGGCAGTGCAGTGTGCCCCCACGCCTGTAGGGGGCACCGTTGCAGAGGTCCGAATCACAGCAGTAGATGCGCATGCCTGGAAGCTCCTGCTGTTGGCAGTGCCGGGATGTTGCGCAGCCACTGGTCAGAGCGATTCCTGAGGCGGCTGTGAGAACAGAAAGGCAGATTGATGGGTGGAGAGCAGGCGTAGTTTTACTGGAGACAGGAAGTTCTAAAGGTAGAAGAAAATAATCTGCAGGCCAGACTAATGATGGAAGGCATCTGCGGGGCCATCTCTGGGGAGATTACTGTGGAATTCATGCCTGCTGAACAACATTGGATAAGCTGCTTTACTCTGGCTGTTGTCTTACCACAGCTGGAAATAGCATAACATAATGTCAAACCTGTGTAACTTCATTGGGTTTATAACTTAACAATGTCAATTCAAGTGCTGCTAGGTTTCTATTACTGACCCCAAAGCTGAGAGCAGAGGCTCACAGCAATACTTTTGGCAAATAGCTGGTTCTGCAGATTTTCTCAATTGCTTTGGCACATTTCATGAAACATGCTTAACATTCTCAAGACTAGGAGAGCATTTCTCAAAACAGTTCATGCATATAGCACAATATGGTTTAGCTGCAAAAGCCTGTAACTTACCCAAAACAATTAACTCGTGTCTCAAAAGCAATGAATTTTGACCACCTGTCAATGGCTGATCATTTTTCTTTAGGTAACTGATACTTATTAATGTCAAAGACACCAGGATCAACATTGCAAGGCTCTACATTACAGTATGTAAAGTTTACTGGTGAGAGAAAGCATTTGTTTGCACATGTAACTTCTTCAAATCTCGAAACGCAGTACAATAGCAAACAGAAAACACCGTAGCAAACAGAAAACAGTCACACAATACCGTATAACACAAAACAGCAGAATGGCAATACAAGAACAACGGAATCATGTATTGTGGGAACCAAAGACAACATATCACTGCAATTAATGGAATGTATTTTTGAATCATTTTGAAAGCTTGGTTAACTGTTTTGCAAGTGATGACACAATGATCACACACATATATCACAATGGGAAAATACATAATCCATTTTGACCAACAGGACTAAAGCAACTGAAAATTGTGCCAACTGATGACAATTGTACAAACCATTTGCATATATGTACTAAAACATTTGGAAATGTGTGTGAAGCAATGAGAAATGAAGTGACATTATGGTGTGGGGATTACACTCGTTGTTTTGTAAATGCTAATTGTCATTTGAGAAATGCTCCAAAGCAATCGAGAAAAACTGTAGCAGTGATACAAAGCAAAGACAAAGAATTAATAATTCCAGACACTAGGGGTAGTTTAGTGTGTAATATATACACACACACACACACACACACACACACACACACACACA